CCGCAGTGTCTGCTGTGCCCGGGCCTGTCCCAGCTCCCCGGCCAGGGGCCCGGCTGGGAAAGTGGCCTCGAAGTCAGGCCACGCGCTCACGCCGACCTCTCTCCTGCGTCCCTTGTGTCTCTGCGTCCTGATGCGACCCAGGAGGCCAACAGCGAAAAGACCAACAACGGGATTCACTACCGGCTGCAACTCCTCTACAGCAATGGTGAGGCTCCCAGCGCCGCCGGCACCTGGGGCTCGGGGCGAGGGTGGGGGCGCGGGCAACTGCCGGGAGGAGAGCGCCAGCAGGCTCAGTCCTTGCTCATCCGAGTTTCGCCTGCAGAGGCTTCACCTGGAAGCCCTTGAGCGGCCAGTGGGCGGGCGTGTCAGGCCTGGGCTTACCTTCACCTGAGACGCCCTTGAGTGGCCCGTGAACGGGCGTGTCGGGCCTGGGCTTACCTGGGGCCAGGTGTGGCTCCTCGGCCCTCGTTGGGCCGCTTTCCCCTTCCTCCCCTTTCTAAGGCCGGTTCCCTCCGCTTAGCCCGGACTCCAGGCCCAAAGTCCTGGCCACGGGAGAGCGCGCAGAGGGGTCCCCGCCGTGGGAAGGCGGAGTGGCCAGGTGGGGCCCGGCCCCGATCCCCGCGGCGGGCTTGGGGGCTGGCTGGCTAGGGCCAGGCCCGAGGCCCCTCTCCGCACCCTGGGGAAGGGGGTCCTGGCTGTGCTTCTGGGGGCCTTGGAGTCCCATTCTCTGTGTGCTTGTTTGTTTGTTGGTTTTCGCGCAGATCCTCTCTCACTTCATTCTCCTTGTTCCCCTCCCCCGTGCCCCCAGGGATAAGGACCGAACAGGATTTCTACGTGCGCCTCATTGACTCCATGACAAAACAAGTAAGTTGTTTCTTCATTTCGCGCCGCAGGGGTACTCTAGGGCCGCAACATTTAGGGGAGTCAAGAAACTGGCTACTCCCCAGCGAGAGGGCTGGGACTCGAACTCTCAGCGTCAGGGCCGGCCGCGGACCCGGCTCTCAGCGCCGCCTTCCAGGTGCGCATGCATTCAGGCATTTGTGCCCGCCGCGTGGGGAACGTGGCTCGACGGCTCCTCAGGGAAACGCAGACCTTAGGACGATGGGCTGCTGAGTGGGGAGAATGTGGGCTCAACTTTGCCTGACCCCGCCGGGTGCCCCAGGGGGCGCACAAGGTGTCCCGGGAAACTGGTGAGGAGTGGGCCAGATGTGTAAAACCCGAACCGCTTGGGCCTCCCCCAGGAGGCCTGGGGTAGAGGGAGCGGGTGGGGGCAAAGGCAGCTTCTCCAGGAGTGGCGAGGCGGGCTGAGGACACAGGTGATCCACTTCACAGATTTTTTTTTAAAAGGAGGAGGTAGTGGTGGTGGTGGTGGTGGTGTGTTGGAAGAGGGAGCGACAATTGTTAGAGGATATTTTGCAAAAATCCTCCTGCCTTTGCCTCCAAGTTTGGCCAGAAGCCAGGCAGCATGAGTGAGCTTGTGGTCTTAAAGGTACATAGACGGCGTTTCTTAAGCTCCCCAACAAGCATTGAGTCAAGCAGTATACATTAAGGTTGAGTTATGGTTTAAAAGATACAATTATGAGCCCAGGCAGAAAAGAGGCCTGACGTTTTAATGAGGCACAGGAGTTTTCCCCCTCCCATTTCTTTTAAATTTTAAGAAAAAGTTTAGTTTCAGAATTAAGTAATAGCTGGTTAGGTAGTTGGAGAACTTAGTCACAGAAAAAAGAAGACAGCTTTATTGGGTGAGGGAAAGAAATCAGAACAAAGAGAAAAGTTACCCATTGTGTACCAACTACCAATCAGTAGGAGGGTTAAAACTTACTTGCTTGATTGTGATTTAAAAATATTCCCTTTAAAATAAGGGAAGTGATCTTCTTTCATTGATATTGGTTTGGAAGGTTTCAAATGAAGATATACATGCATATTTAAAATTTGTTTTTAGATAAGCATAGCTTATCTAAAAACACATGTACAAAATGCACATCATTAAGCTGTTGTAAGGTTTAAAATCTATCAGCAAGAATAAATTTAATAACAGCTAATTTTGATTATTACCTCATATTTCATTGCGAACCAAGTAGAAAATGAGGGTATGAGACATATTTTTAAGATAATAAATATCTATTGAAATCTATTTCAAGTATTTGCAAAAAAAATTGGACTTTCTTAAAGATCTAGTTATTTCTTGGTTGATTGTTCAGAGTAAATCCACATTGATAGTTTTAGTCTTTTTTTTTATTTACTGGTTTTTATAATTATATAGGAGAAGTCCCTTTTAATTGGGTAGATTATATTTTGTTAATTTTTTCCCCCTGCCAAGCAGAAAACAAAAGCCTGATTTCAATAACAGTTGTTTTTTTCACGATATCAAAACAAAAATGTCTTAAGTGATGTTTTGTTTTTAAAAAAATTGTCTTTGGTACCTTGATTATCTTTTCCTGCCATTCTCATCCCAGGAAAGAAAAGATGGGAGGGGGTGGGGAAAGTATGAACTCTAATATGTATTCCATATGTATTTGTTAAAATTTACTTTTTGAAAGATAAAAAATCTCCACATACCAGTATATAAGGCCTGTCTGCTTGTGCAACATTGACAACTTAAATATTAAATTATAGGCAGCACTATGAAAGCAACAGTTGTATGGTGCACAAAATTAGGACATGTTTGAAGTGATTAACTTCTCTCAAAACTTTATATTAGACCCCTTACACAAAAGGTGCTACCAAAAATCAATTTTCCCATTATGAAATGAACTGACTTTACACACTTTCATATGGTGGGCGAATAATCTTTTATATTTTTATAAAGCAATTTTATGATTTTTATAAAGCAACACATCAAATATCATTTTACTAACTAGGTTACAGAGCTTAAGAAAAATTATAGCTTAAGGCATCCTTTGACCTCTTGGTTATAATAAATTCTACCAGGTGTGTGTGTGTGTGTGTGTGGAGTAGAACAAGATACAGTTTATTTTTAATAATAGCAGGTATGAGAAAGTCATTTGCCATAATATGACATCTCCCTGGAAGTTAAAATTATAAATGTATACAATTCTATATTTTGGTGAGGAGTGACCTGAGAAAAGGTTTAAATAATTCTCTGAATTTAGTCTAAAAATATCAAGAACAAGAGATTTTTTTTTGAGTCATACCTGTTTGCTTTCATAATAATTTCCTAATGCCTTCTGTGTAGCTTTCACTTTGAAAGACAATCCTTGCCTATTCTCCGGCTGCACGTTCGTTGATTATGTGCTGTTAGAGTTTGGGAAGTAGGTTAGCTTCTTGTGTACACAATTAACACAATAGTCTTTAAAAAGCAGATCAGTTTGAAGAAGCATAACTTTCCTTAGCTGTGACATAATTATTATATTTTAGCCTTGATGAGTAAAACAAGGGGTGTTCATTTAGCTTGAATTATTCTATGATAATTAACTACCAAGTCTGATAAAAAAATTCTTCAATTTTTGATTTTAGTTAAATATGCAGTAACCCATTCAATCAGAAGTAAGGCTAAAGCAGACTGAATAAATGGTACCCCCCCGCCCCCACTCAAATTCTTCTAGATCAGTGGTTCTCAACCTTCTGGCCCTTTAAATACAGTTCCTCATGTTGTGACCCAACCATAAAATTATTTTCGTTGCTACTTCATAACTGTAATGTTGCTACTGTTATGAATCGTAATGGAAATATCTGATATGCAGGATGGTCTTAGGCGACCCCTGTGAAAGGGTCGTTGGACCGCCAAAGGGGTGGCTACCCACAGGTTGAGAACCGCTGTTCTAGATAGACTCAGGATTTTGATATTTAGAATGCAGACTGGAATATTTTCAGTGATGTGATGCGTTCTAATAGCATCATAAGTTTCAGAGAGAATACGTAGCCACAGTCAAAGTCTTCCCTTAGCTGCTGGTTTATTGTAACACTTTTCAGATCTGAGATACAGCATTATGTGTGTGATGTCATATCTTTGCCTCACAAGATGGGGTTAAAAATCAACGGGAATCTTTGGCAAGCAGAATCCAAAACTAGCTGTGCACTCCACATTTTCATAGAATGTCCCTGATCTTGGGTGGAGTTAGAATCATTGAGATCAAACAGAAATGTACTCAACCAAGATATGCTGGTATGACACACACTATTTCACACCTTTGCAAAGTGTCTCATGACACTCTTTTGGATAATGACTCTTAATTTTGGACTCTCCCAGAAAGATGAAGCTTCATTAGAAGTGAATGTGTAAGGACCTGAGCCCCCTATCCCTCTGCCTCTCGTATAAAACACAGAGGATATAATGATATTTTAAAAATTCATCCACCAACTAGAAAATAAGAGGCTTGCTTTTTGGGAAGGGTTGTTCAAAACCAAGTTTAGCTGGACTAAAAATAGGTTGTTTTTGTGTCATTGCTGTTTTTGGTATTCCATTAGTGAGCATGCAAAAAGGCCTGTAGAATTCAGAACTTTATGGCTGTTGCATCCAGAAACAGTATCTACTGCAGAAGCTCAAGTGAACCCGGTGGGGAGGTCTGAGGTTTAATCTGCTTCATTTCAGATTTTCATGTAGTATTTGAAATTGGATTATGTTCTGTGATTGCTTCACTGAGTTATTTATCTTTCAATAGTTAAAAAAAAGCATTTAACTTATCTTCCCTCCTAGTATCTTGCTTTAAAAAAAGTGACAGCTTTATAATTCAAAGAAAGAGTATCAAAGTCCATAAAGTTATCAAAAACAAAACTCTCCCTGCCCCCAAACAAAAGCTTTTTTTTTTTTTTTTGGAAAGGGGAAAATAATGGCCACATAATCCTTGAATGTATAGGTTTGAAGGTAGGTGATGTGGCGAGGGAACTCTAAAAGGTCCCAGCACAGTGGGAGGTGCAAGGAACAATAATCAGAAATGCTGTCATATTTCTTTTCCCAACTAATCTTTATATATTTGTTTTGATGTTCCTGGTACTTTAAGTTATTGATGCAAGTGCATTTTTCCCTATTGATTGTTTCATTATATCCTGCCACAGCTACGTAGATTTGATTAACAACCCTTTCAGTTCGTGGTTCTTCATTGGTAGATAAACACATTTTTAGTATATCAATAAGTTCCAAAGGAATTCACTAGGTCAGGAGAGAGGGTCTTTCATACTTTTGGAAAAACATACAAACAAAAAAGAGCACAGGGCAAGATTATAGTCAGGAGCCATATTTCAGCAGCTTTCTTTCTTCTTTGGTAAAACATAAAAAATGCAGGTGATTTAAATTTCCTTGCACATGGAGGAATGAAGAAGTTTGGAATTTTTATGCATGATCAGGACCTGTGTTTGGGAAAATGTAAACTCATCACAGTGGAAAATGTGTTGTTTGGAGTCTGGGGGTGAAAACAAAGCTGATGGTTTTGGAGAGATTGCCGGAGCCAGATGGCCTAGTACTTCCCCAGTCTGGCGGTCCAACTGCTCCCTCCTGGATAATATACAGCCATTTGTTCGGGGATATTTACGCTAGAGCTGTTTCCATGTGAATGTTTGAACAGCATTAAAAAACGAACATATTAGTAGTGATGCATTTCTCGAACTTGTATGAGTACACCGATAGACTGTTCTTATGCCTTTACTTACATTGCTGAGAGGCAGGAAGGAGGGTTTGGATATTGGCGAATTGTTTATATAGTTGTTGAACAAGAATAATTTGGTCTTAGTGAGTAATTAGAATATGTAAGCATTTGGAATTAAATTAATGGAAATTAGGGGAGCACCTACCTCGGAGCTCTGTTGTGAGAATTATATGAACTCATACATGTAAAGTGCTTAGAATAGTGATGGGCACACATTAAGTGCTTAATAAATTAGCTGCTGTTTTTATTATTATTATCCTC